TATAGCCGTAGCCTTCATTCGCATTAGAGTTGTTTTTTTGTTTCGCCGGAAAAATGTTAAGTGTAACAGTAGAGCAACGAATTGTTGTGAAATTTCACATGAAACTTGGAAAAACTGCTACTGAAACATATAATTTATTGAAAGAAGTGTATGGCAATGAATGTTTATCGCGCGCACGTGTTTTTGAGTGGTTTAAGCGTTTTCAAGATGGCCGAGAAGACGTTCAAGATGATTCAAGCCCGGGTCGTCCTTTCGTTTTTCGTCAAAAACGGATGACAATATCGAAAAAATCGGTAATCTGATTCGATCTGACCGTCGGTTAAGTATTCGTGCAATTGCTGAAACTGTACGAATTGATAAAGAATCCGTACGGCAAATTTTACATAACAATTTTAACATGAAAAAAGTGTGTGCCAAAATAGTGCCTAAAATTCTCACGTTTGAACAACAAGAAGATCGCAAAAATGTTTGTACTGACACTTTGAATGTCATTGAAAATGACCCAAACTTATTGTAAAGGATAATAACATGTGACGAATCGTGGTTTTTTACTTATGATCCTGAAACGAAGCGCCAATCCATGCACTGGAAGAGCCCCTCTTCACCGAGAGCCAAAAAAGCTCGAATGAGCAAATCAAAATTTAAAGCAATGATGATTGTTTTTTTCGATATTCATGGGATTGTGTACCTTCACTGGGTTCCGGAAAGTCAAACTATTAATCAACATTACTACCTTTACGTTCTTGCTGAACTCCGTGAAAGAATAAGGAAAAAACGACCCGAATTGTGGAAGGATAAGTCATGGGTTCTCCACCAAGACAATGTGCCGGCTCATTCCGCATTGTCTGTCAAAAGGTTTCTAGCCAAGTTCAGCATCCCAGTGTTAGACCATCCGCCTTATTCGCCAGATCTTGCGCCGTGCGACTTCTATCTGTTTCCTAAGGTGAAATCTGCCTTAAAAAGAACAAGATTTGAGTCCGTTGAATCTGTGAAAGAGAAAGCGGCACGCGTCCTGAAGGAGCTGACAGAAGAAGACTTCCAGCACTGCTTCGAACAATGGAAGATTCGCATGGAGCGTTGTAGGTATAGAGGAGGGGTGTATATTGAAGGTGATAATAAGTAAAAATGTATGAAATCAAAATAAAATGTTTTACAGCGTCAGTCTAGTTATTTAATAGCCACACCTCATATGCGGCTATAAGGAACATCTTAGGACTAATGATATCCACACCCACTAATGTTTTATTAAGTCAAACCGGAGAATTATCTCTAAGTATTAGACGTCAAATGGAATGTTGTAAACTAATAGTTAAATCTTTCTCCAATAAGTTTGATATATTTAGAGAGGGATTAGAGAAATGGTTTCTTCAAGATTCGCTTCGCAAACTTAATAACACTACACAAATAAATTTTGACGATTGGCCGTATATTGCTAGACTGGTTTTAAATAATACCCATAAATTATCCCACATTAAAAACTTCTCACTCTGTGGATATTTAAGCTATCTTTATAACAATAGATTCACCCAGATTAACATTGACACTAATAAGTTTATACCGTTAAAAGACTATGGCAAAAAATGCGGAAATTTTCTCCACACTAAAAACAACTCCAAACTCTCTATAACTGGCATAAACAGGTTAGCCAACCATTTTATTGAATCATTCAAGTTTTCACTTATACTCTTTACTGATGGTTCCATTGCATCAGATAGTAGTGCCGGCTTTGGGGTATGCGCTCCCTCCTCGGATATTAGGATCTCTATCCCTATCCCAAATATCAATAATATTTTCTTAGTGGAGGCATACGGAATACATGCTATAGACATCGCTATATCTCAGGGCAAGAAGAAAGTAGGCATCTTTTCTGACTCATTGAGTGTACCTAAGAGTATTGAAGTCATTGACACTTGGGGTAAAAAACCCATAATCTGTTACGGGTGTATATCAGTTGGACACGGGGCAATTGGACACAGTCCAATTACAAGTCGCTGTTCCAAGGGACCCTACAAATGTCTCTAAGTACACGGTGCTGTGATTGGCTGTGTCCAAATGCACCGTGTCCAAGTGCACCGCTCCCATCTGTTACGATATTATATATAAAATTATTCAAGCCAAAGAAATGAACATTAACATTACTCTTGTGTGGATCTCTGGACACTATGGTATAAAGGGCAACGAACTGGCGGATACCCTTGCTAAACTTGCTTCTGGCAGCACTGAAGACCCTCCTTTAAATCATTTACTTGATCCATCTGACGTTTACAGGCATTTGAAAAAGCCTATAGAAGATGAAGGAACTCAAACATTGGAAACGGAATTCAAAGTTAAAGGCAAGGAATACAGGAAACATATTAAGCAAATTTCATGTAAACATTGGTTCAGCGGGTCCAAGAAAATCCCCAGACAAATCATTACCATTATGGCTAGGATACAATCTCACTATATTTGCACAGGCACACATCTTATGCGGAAAAACATCACCTCTAACGACAATTGCGTATGTGGAGTTTCCCCCAGAAACTTGGATCATCTGTTATTCAAATATTCTCTACATAATGAGGAATCCGAAAAACTCATTACGCAGCTATATATAACAAATATCATGAATGTTGAAGATATAATAAGGCAGCTATCTCTAAATTTTCTGTACCGTTTATATTTATCCTTGATTTCCTCAAATCTACTAATCAATCCTTATAAACCATATCCTATAACGTATCAGTTGTTCACAAATCGTTGAGTGGTGTTGGGGGTATGCCTTTTGATTACCTAAAACCATATCGAGAGAGAGAGAGAGAGAGAGAGAGAGAGAGAGAAAGAGAGAGAGAGAGAGAGAGAGGTCTGTTCTTCTCAACTGAATCAGTGCTGCACTTCTGATGGAAGTTTCGAGGAAACTAATTATGGAATCAGCTGATCATGAAATCAACTTATGATACTTAACTAAAGCGATTAGTATTTTGTCTATAAAAGTGACAGATATTTATATTGAAGAAAAAGAAGAATGCTGAAACACTTATATTAACATATAAAAGAACAAAGATTTATTGTTTCAATTATACTTTAAGTTCGAGTGAAAAGTTGACTTCTCCTGAAGAAGAGTATTAAATACATAACAAATACGTAAACAAACAACCACTACATCAATAATTATATTATTGTAATAGTTAAAACAATGGCTGCAAAGATATATCAACCCGATCAAGAACTAGAAACAAAAGTTAAGAAAGGTTAGGATTTATTTACATACAATTTATTATTGACCTATTATTAATAACTGTGCAATTTATTGCATAGTTATTATTATATACATTTCTTTGCTGGTAATAGTAATATCATGTTTTAAATAATTTGGTAAACTTTGTTGTGTCAATCTGATGTACACACACATACACACATGTAATTAAATTGACTAATATAATGTCTATGGCAATGTTGTAGCAACTGAACGTATATCGGAGAATATGCATATTGTGGCGAATGAGCCATCACTCGCCTTTTATAGGCTGCAAGAGCATGTGAGGAAAGCTCTACCGCCAATGGTGGAGAAACGTGTGGAGGTGTTAGCATTGCAGCAACAGTTATTAGGTAGATGTTACGATGTTGAATACGCAGTCAGCGCAATTAAAACCATGCAAGGAGCTGGGAAAAGTTTTGAAAACACACTGGAGTTCATAAAGAATGCCATATTCTTCAAGCAACAGCTGAAGTATGAGGAGCAGCGACGCAATAAGAAGGATAACAACAGGGATTCCGTTTACAAACGTCTGTCCGCACATATTCCCACTTTGGACCATTTGCCAGATGAAATATCCGACGTTGTCAGAGAGACTGCGAATCGGGTAGAATCTATGATGAATCATGCCAGGCATTCTAGCGAAGTACAGAAATCGACTACTATTCATAATTGAAGGGATATATCAAGCTGTTTTGTGGTTTTCTGTGATAATTACTATTTAAAGCGAATGTTATGCATTAGTTGTAATATACAGTGTACGTATGTTATAATGTATGATTACTATTAACGTGTACAATCAAAGTGTTGACAAACACATATGTATCCACCTGATTGTATTATAAGTGTTGTACTATAAGTGTGATAATTGTTTAATCTTATAGACATTTTTGTATTAAGTTATGCATATTTACATTATATCTATACATTGTACCTTGAATTTGTGCATTGATTATCACGATTGACTTGATATATTTTGAAATAATTCCGTATGAGTAGTCAACAGTTTAGCCAGTCAACACTTTTTGTTTGAATTGAATATGAATTTACGAATATTATTAATTTTGTTCGCATATTAATTCAACCTATAATTCATAATTATATTATGATCTCATATAATATCTAAGGAATCTGTTTAAGTAACATGCAGAGAAAATTTCTTGATACTGTAATTGTCTCAATATTTTTGTTAATATTTCGACGATATGTTGACAATATTTTGTCTTAAGATGCAAATAGTTTATATCTTCATCTCTTATATCTTTTAAGTACATTAGCTCGTATTCTAAGTCTCTTTTAATGATAAATGAGCCTCTAAAATTGGCTTATAAGCTTTCTGATTAGCTATGAGTGGCCATTGTCTTCGAAATATTTTTCTAATATTTCTATTTCTAATATTTCTAATATTTCTATTATTATTTCTAATATTTCTATTTGTTTACATTTTGTACAAATTCTTAAAGAATTTTTCAATTGTATTTTGTCATCAGTTAAATTTGAGAATTCACTTTCAAAATATACTATATATAATATGTAATAAACTTCATTTTTATATTTTGTAGTAGTTTTCAAAACTCATCCGTATAAACTCGCGTATCGCGTAATGTATACATATAAAATACATAATACATAACATAATACATAAAAAATACATAATACCAGAGAGAGACCTGCAAACGATTGCCGGCATGATCTCAGTAGCCAGTGCTAGACGCATCTAACTAGATACGCCATTTAACAAAAATGTGCCTAAGGGCTATCACACACAAAATTACATAGACGCATATGCATAGCATAAGATCATATGGACCAATGAGCATTGAATAATAAGTCGCCATATTGATGATTGATACTTAATATTCGATGCTCATTGGCCCATACTATCTTATGCTATGCATATGCGTCTATGTAATTTTGTGTGTGATGGCCTTAACTCATCGACATATATGGTCTATGCTTTTCAGCTGACTGCTGAACTGGTGCAATAAGTTAAAGTGAGATAAGTATATGTTTTCTCACTCTAACTTATTGCACTAGTTCAGCAATGCAGCTGAAAAGAACAGACCAATAGAATGGATTGCTAAATGAGGTGATAGGGGTAGGAACAGATGTAGAGTGAGAGGCAGACAATAATAGGACACCTTCTCTTTTCCAAGTAGGAGTGTAGCGCGTCATAATAGAACCTTAATCATACTGATAATTTATAATAAATATTTCAAATAGTTACTTGTGATTTTAGTCTAGTGTAACATTTTTAATATTTAAAAAATATTACTGTTTTATACATAATAACATTTCATTAATATTGAAATGAGAATAAGTATGAATATATATATACCTCATTTAGCAGTCCATTCTATTGGTCTGTTCTTTTTAGCTGCACTGCTGAACTAGTGCAATAAGTTATATATATATATATATATATATGTCACTTTTGATCACCAAAGATGGCCGCGATGAAGATGTCTCCTCATTGCGTTGACTTCACACTCCGCGTCCTTAAAATACTTTACGCTCTGTCCAGATATTCTTACGTCCATGGTTGCACAGTTTTCGCTCGTGATTGCTTCCGCTCATGATTGGTTCCGCTCTCGTTCCGCACTCTGCTATTCCGCTGCATGGGTTTGCATCCTTACACAAAACCAATTTATTGGTTACATATTATTTAAAATATCTTGTTAGATAATACGCTACCAATAAACTGGTTTTGTGTATCATAGTGTATGTAGCTGGAAACACTCATAAAGTACTGCATATAATGGGAATAAAGTATAGTTGTAAAAAGTAAGAATAAGAAATTGATCAATCACAATTGACTATTCTTCTCACATTCGACTTTGATTAGTCAATTTTTTACTTTATTTCTTACAGCCAGACATTATTTCTATCGTAGGTGATCTTTTATGTTGTAAAAATGCACATATATGTTACGATACGTAACCTTAAGATCGTCGTAAAATGCATATGCATAGCATAAGATCATATGGACCAATGAGTATTGAATATTAAGTCGCCATATTGATGATTGATACTTAATATTCGATGCTCATTGGTCCATACTATCTTATGCTATGCATATGCGTCTATGTAATTTTATGTGTGATGGCCTTAATGAACATCAAGTATTAAGACGCCATATTAAGCTTGATGCTCAATATTCGATGCTCATTGGTTCATATGGTCTTATCCTATGCATATGCAGTTATGTCATTTCATGTATGATGGACTTAAGACTGTTTTGACCAATAAACATATAGCGTCAAGTAGCCATGTTGATTTGCGAAATATGTTTATTAGTCGAGATGGTTTTATATTATGCCTTTGCCCTGTATTTTGAGTTCTTTTTTAACGATAAATGAGCCTCTAAAAGTGACTCATAGCCAATCAGAAAGCTTATAAGACATTTTTAGAGGCTCATTTGTCGTTAAAAGAAAACTCAGAATTCGGGCCTTTGTATTTATATTAAGGAGTTTTTACAATTCCGTAATTTAGATACGGTAAATACTGAAGTCACGTGACTTCATACCATATTCCGTTTTTACGTCGCCTAGCACAAAAAAGTTTTTGCACGATGAATGCTATGGTAACGTACAATAAAACAATATTTTATAATAAGATGAAAGTTTTTCACTCTCTTCATATGGATTTTGGGATATAATCTTCCTTAAAAGTATGAGATCATCTTGACTTGTGAATCTCAATCGTTCAGATTTCATTTTGATAACCATAACGTCGACGTTACTCGTGAATGCTATTTTTCATAAATAACATTCGTACGTTATCTGAATAGCGTTAAGGTGACCGATGCGCATGCGCAGTTTGGTCTTTTGACTCGATGACGTCATTTTAGCGTTTCCGTATCTATACCGTATGTTTGCGAAAATTCCTATTATGCATATGCATTTTGCGATAGTCTTTAATATAGAAAGAATTATTTTGTTATACAGATTGTGATTTGTTTATTTCCTTACCTATTATACAAGATAAATGGATAAATTGAAATACAAATATTTGAGAAGTACAATCAAAAATACAATCAAGGGACGTCTACATTGGAAGTAAGAGTAGGAAGTAGGAAGTACTAAGTAGGAAGTAAGGAAGGAGTACTAAGTAGGAAGTAAGAGTAAGAAATTGACCAACTATAGTCGAATGTGAGAAGAATAATCAACTATGATTGGTCAATTTCTTATTCTTACTTCCTACTTCTTACTGCTTACTTCCAATGTAGACGTCCCTTCACAGTTTGCGCAGTGGTTGGTTATGGTAGCAATCAAAAAGATCATTCTGGGGTGCGTTCCAAAATTCAACTTTGGTTACTATAGTTTTATAATTCATGTTACGTATACTGTAGAAAATAGTAACCAAGGTTAAATTTTGAAACGTATCCCAGTTCGTGAGCCTGTAGTAATGGTTCGTATATACCTAGGTTACATTCCAAAATATCATTTTTAAGGACAATTTTATTTAATACTTTATAGTTCACATATTGCATATATTATAAGATATTGAGTAAAATTTTTTTGTTAAAAAGACGTGTTGGAATGCAATCCTAGGCTACCGGGTTTCGTTCCTAAATTCATCTAAAACTGTTTAAACTGTTGTGTCGCTGACTGTACAAGTGCGCTATGCAGCTAACACAAAAAGTATCTTTATGAGTGACAGACTTAACGTCTGCTGTAGCAGCATGATGTAACCTTATAAGAATATTAATAAATTGACGCCGGTGATGAGAAGACATGGTTGAAGATAAGTGTCGAAGATGCTGACAGCAACACAGGGAGGACGATGTTCATTTGACAACACAACTTATCTTTATCGATATATTATACGGTAAGTCAAATACTGTTTCCTGTTTTATAGGTTAGATTAGATTAAGTTGTATCTGTAGTACCTATGTGATTTTATTAATGATTTGATAAGATTATTTATTGCTTGTATTTATAATAATGTGATGCGTGTGTAAATAAGATGTGTATTGTCGTTATAGTGCCAATAGTATCAAAATCGGTGAGCCTTCTGACGTTCGAACCTTCTGATATTTTCAAGTACGCTTTCCATCCTTCCTGCTTTACAAAGATATCCACCGTGGTTTGCTACTCCAATTTTGAAGCGTTTTGTGGTCTCAAAATACTATTTTCGTAAGTCCTTCATCATAGATTTAAAGATTTATAATCAAATAATTATCAAATATAATCAAATAATTATCAAAGAAATGATTCATGTCTCTAAATAAATATCTTCTAAGTAGTGAAACTTTGAAGAGCATCTTAAACAAAACTTTATTATTTCAAAAGTACTTTAGAATGGTCTTTCTAAATTCTTTAGAAACATTAAGTTTTTTAAAAATTCACTATCTAATATTATTCTCAAAAATTTTGAAATCTTTTCTGACTTAAGTAAAGATTATTTTATTTAATTTAAAGATTCTATATATATTAATACTATCAAAATAAAAAAAATGAAAAATTTTTATAATTAAAGATTATATACAATAATTCAAATTTATTATAAATTATTCTGTAACTGAAATTAATAAGATTTAAAAGTTTTGCAGGCTTTGAAAGTTTAGATTGTGCATGATGGTTATTTTAGTATAACATAACCAAGTGATTACATTCAGAGTTGGGAAATAAAGCAGAAAGCACATATTCTTACATAAAGATATAATACACAACGCATAAGGAAATTAATCAATTAAAGTTCTCATTTTTATTGCCATGATAAAAATGAAAGGTCAGTTCTAATTGGTCAGTTTTCTTATGTGTTGTGCATATGCCTTTATGTAAGAGTGTGTGCTTTCCAGCCAACACGTTACTTATAACACTGTCACAACCACTATAACCGTCAATCTTTATTTTTATCATTAATTATCTCTATTCAATAGATGATGCATTGGTCATTAGATATTTTTGATTGGATAGCAATACCTCGATAAATATCGGGGTAAAATATCGAGTAAATACTGGAAGATAGTATGTGATTTTATTTTATTCTTCATGTAAAAATGATTGTTAGTGCAAAATCGGATTTAACAATTTAGTTATTAAAAATTTTAATAAATTTAATAATATAGGTATACTTTTAGTGTAGTTCACTTTTGGTGTGTAAGAAACCATGGAACAAATGTGTATATTTTAGGCATACCTGATATTACACTAGGCATACCTATATTATACTAGGCATACTTAATATTAAATTCATTAAAAATTTTTAAGAGCCAAATTGTAAAATCTGACTGACAATAATTTTTATGCAAAGAATAATCAAAGATAAAAAAGATAGAATCAAGCTCATAAAGAAATATTAGTTCTCCGATTCAGAATTATTGCAGTTTTGAATAGTTTGTTCTTTTTAGGCAAACTAGCTACACTAAAAATAATAATTTCCCATACAACACAAATATCTGAAATACATCCCAGAGACATTCCAGAGATATCACATTGTCTCTGGAACGTCTCTGGGATGTATTTCAGACATTTGGTGCTGTATGGTTCAAGTTTAAAAAAATAATTTTATTTTAAAATCAATTACGTATTATATTTTAATATTATACAAAAGTAACGAAAAAATAACGAACCGTTACTTTCTTAGTACGATAACGGTAACGAGTTACTTTTTGAAATTAGTATTGAGTAAAGCTAATGAGTCACTTTTTACGAAAAGTAAATGGTAACGCGTTACTTTTTTTATGTAAAAATGTTGACATATGTTATGACATCTGCCACAGCTATTTTTTAGTTCTGAAAGCTCGTTTTTTTGCGTGTATGATGAAACATTGATTAATTATGATGTAACCAAAGTAGAGAATGTTACATCAGCGAGAAATATTAGTTACTAGAAACAAATGATTGTAGCTGTGTGGTAAACTTCTTTAATATATGCATACAATAAGAAATTTAGGAATAACTGCCATTTTCTTAGCTACATGAAATAATGTGCATTTTTAATGTCACCTAATATAATTGTATTTCATAGCGAATGCATTTCAGCTGTCATAGCCAATTCTTAGCAGTTAAACGATTAGCCTTTTGACTAAGTTTGAATCACGCGGTTTAGCTGATTACTAAGTCATTTTTTGCGTGCAATTTCGCGTCACGGTACATTTGATAATGGTATAGCTCATAACAGTTTTAAGGAACACTGTCATGAGGTTGATCGTCAATATTGGATTAATTGAACGGGTTCTATATTCGTGTATCTTCTCGGATTCGCCCACATAACCGGCCCGGGATTTCCCTGCAATTTTTGTACTCGCCGTACGAAATGAGTATTCTGCACGCGTCTCACGGGAGAAACCGCTCGAGAACTATGCGTTATAACGTCATACGTTCCACGTATGGGGACTGACTTCAAATTACGTCGAATAATAATAAGGTTCAAGTCAAGTAGAAGCTCGACTTCTTCCAACATCCAACATTTGACGGAACAATCAATCGTACGGCGTTTGACCGGGCGTTCCATTTAAGCTGTGGGATTTCCCAACATCCTACGGTTGTTACCCCTCAGATAACAAGAATAATTTATTTACACAAGATGAAATTCCATGGTTCTATCTAAAGACGCATAGTTCTTCGTATCCCCTCTTTTCATTTTTTCTTGGCCTTTAACCCTTTGATGACGTATGTGCATCATATACAAGTGCACGTTCAGATTTATTATTCGTTCTTAGCAAATATATTTCGCTCACGCTTAGTAGGTCGCGAAGTACAAATTCCTGAGATCGATAATAGAAGGAAAAATCTTGGGTAAAAGGTCTGTCGGCAGAAGATAAAACTCCTACACAAAGAGAATGATTTGTTGAATCAAATAAACGTTTCTTTGGAATGGTCCAAACAAATTTTGGTTGTCACAACAAAAATATTTCGTTGGAACTAAGCCGTAACTAAATATTTTTGTTACGTCAGACAAAACTTTGTTCGATCAACTAGAAAATTTGTTTGGACCATTCCAAAGAAGTGTTTGTTTGATTCAACCAAATCGTTCTCTCTGTTGAAGGACCTCAGGCGATGGTTCGGCTGTGCATTAATCAAATATTTAAAGTTGCGGTACAAAAAACAGTACTAGCTATATGGATCGCCAACCTTCATGCGAAGATGGCGTGAGAAGAAGACGAATGGCTCGTATCTCTATAGATAAAAATATGACGAAACACGTTCGAAGTCGCCGAGAAGTGTGACTTAGGAATTCATACTTCTCTGCACGATTGCACTACGATTGCGGTATATTAATTTTTTTAAAATTCGACCGTATTTATCAATCAACTCGTTGAATTAATATTAAATCGTAAAAGCCATCGACCTGTGAATTCATAAGCGCGACCGGTCGATCGCCCTGACTTTCATCCGTATGAATAAAATTTTGTTGAACGGCACCATTTCGAATAATATGTACCATTCGCTTGTGAGAAGTCCGCTTATCGGCGACCTATCGCGCATAAATCTATAAATGTTTTATCTATAAATAATTACAATTGTAAGAACGTAGCAATTAAAATGTAGTTTAGAAAAAAAAGTATAGAAGAAAGATATAATCTAGGGAAAAAAGATATAACTTTGAACGCTCTTACCGCGCAACACATCAATTTACATAATTCATTAGCGACTTTGACTGCACGTGTTTCGTCACGTTTTTATCTATGCAGATACGAGCCATTAAAGGCCGGCAATATCGAAACTTAAACGGATATACATAGATGCCCATATATTAGTGTTCGAAAATATCGATACGACTATTGATACGTATCGGTGTGCCTCTGGCATCGATACGTATCGGTATGCCTCTGGCATCGATACGTATCGATAATTGTATCGATATTTTCGAATACTATCATATATTGGGCGAGGAAGATGTTTGCACACCTCACTCGTGCGAAAATTTCTGGGGAAAGAGACCGCTGCAGTGTGCTTCCCACTGCATTGTGTTCAGTTCATCGGTTGGTAATTCTTATATGAAATATCTTACTATATACACATATACGTATATTGCTATATACGCACCTACCATACGCACATATTAACCCTAGGTATATACACTGGAGTCTCCGAGACCCCAGGCAAAGTTTGAAACTCTAGTATTAGTAGAGAGAATAAGTAAGGAGGATACGACTGCCGTATAAAAAAAATTTAAAGTCTCCTCTATAAATAGCAACTGTCGGAGCAGTCAATTGTCTATCAGTTTTGTAGTAATTCACACGTAAAGTAAGCTCAGGGTATCCCAGACCTTAGTGTGCACTTCGTGTAACTTCTTTTGTAAGTATATTTTGTAATTAATTTTACTCGAGTTCATAGTGTAAATATATATTCTAAAAAATGTTAAATCAAATAAATAACGTAAAAATAAGAACTAATTTTTATTGGAAGACAGAAACGTTTGGACTAAACGCCAAAAATGATACTGTCTTGTGAATATTATTTACCGCTTTTAAATTATTGACGTTTTTCTTTTTCTGTTTCTGTTACATACATTACAAGTTATTAAGTTTGTATTTTTTAACAAAAGTCCTAACTTATATCTGTCTGCAAAACCGCCAGAAAATAGAAATATGAAAAATCGTCAATCTTAAAGCCTTGTAATTTTCATGATAATATTCCAATATTTAAGAGCGATTTTTTTCTAATGTTTCAATACGTCTTTATTATGTGATGCTTATTATGATTTAATTCTAATTCTTAATAAATATATGTGCTTATCAGTCTATTAACAATCGGGGAAAAAAAAGTTAAAATACGGTGATTTTTACCGGAGTTATAATAAAAAAAATAGCTGAGGTCCTTCAGACTCCAGTATAGTATCTACGTATGCGAAAAATAAGTATGTATACCTAGAGTTAAAAGAGAAATCAGTCGACCACATCGATCAGAAACCACTTAAATCGAGTTAAACAAACTCAATTTCAGAATTGTATTATATGTTCTCGGAGAAGAAAACGAGGATGGCAACTATACAAGTTTTGTATGTGGAATTAATGTATATAATTTAACTAACTATTTTATATTTATTTTGACTAAAGCTTCGGTTGCAATTTTCAAAATAATTTATTAAACTACATACATTACAATCCTGCATACAAAACTCGTATAGTTGTCATCGCCATGTTATTTTCTGAGTATGAGGAACTAATTACTCTAATTCTTTCGAT